GACCTTTTATAACATGGCTAAAATGCACTGACACAGCTACATTTAGTGAGAAATTGACCTTTCAGAACTTTACTTATTTCCAACCTGATTTGCAAGTGACAACAGAGGCCGGTGCTAATTGTTTAAAAATCTACTACGTGAAAAATATTAAGTGATGTTTCTTTTCGTTTTAGCTTAGAAACATAAACAATTTTTATTTCCCAAAATTTCATGATGTGTTGAGTTCAACATGCTAATATGCCGCCAATGGCACGTTTCAGCCTTATGCTTGAGCTAGTGTGGTGATTCAAGGATAAACCTAGCATACAGTTACCCATCTTAGCAATACCTAGAAATCCGAAGATCTGCTATGTAGAATAGCAAGTGTAGTGGAATGAATGATACTAACCATAACGTGTGATTAAAATGAATTACTTTATTGATTAGAAAACAACAACTGGATATTAAAGGCTGATCGTCTAGTAGTAATACTATTACTGCAGTATATTAAAGTTGCCATACAAATCTAGCAAATGAAATAAAAAATGGAGTAAAATAAAAATGGTGGATAAAATAAAACTGCATTTAATGGAAGAAGAAAAAATAAAAATAAACTACTTGAAACAAAAATCAACCACGCATAATAAGCAAGTGCTAGAAGGAACAATAAAACAGACAGAACTTCACAGCAAGTCTTAGCTCACAGAAGATCCAAAAAGTGCTTTTATAGTTCCCCTTATTTATGTAGCTGGTTATTAAGGAAACTGTGTCACAAGGATCCAGAAATATTTTTTGCTCCATGTAACTATTGTAAAGCTGCCCCAAATACCAATATAAAACACGGCACAATACAGCTATCACGTTCGATAGTAAAGTTAAAATAAGACCCAAAACTCGAGCGCTTTCGAATAGTTGACTATTTTTCTTCTTCTTCTTGTTCTCCTGAAGAAGAATAGTCAACTATTCGAAAGCGCTCGAGTTTTGGGTCTTATTTTAACTTTACTATCGAACGTGATAGCTGTATTGTGCCGTGTTTTATATTGGTATTTGGGGCAGCTTTACAATAGTTACA